AGGGGTGCTTTGCTTTGAACTCAGCATCCAAAACTCCTAGCATTTACCTTGGCTCCAACAACGACAACAGGAGTAATTACTTCTGTCAACTCCAGTCTTGAAGATCACTGGAGAAAATGTAAAAAAAAAAAAAAATAATAATAATAATAATCAGGCTGTATTAGGGTCAATATTTTCAAATTACTTACAAATTTCCGCATTTCTCACGTAAGTAGATTGAAAAACACTCGAGACATAGAGTAAATGCAATTTCCCTGAAAAATAAAAATGATTGTCATTATTTGGACGTTTATTTTCGTTTTTAATGGATTTATAAGTCAGACGTGCAGTTAGTATTATATATAGCGGCTCTGAAGAATAAATTGGCGGACTGAATTCGAATTCGGGTCGAGCTTGTTACATTCACTTTTGCACAGATATTCTTAAGAAAGATATGAACCCGTCTCCTCTCCCCCATAGTTATGGGTTAAATAGCGGAGAATTCTATTAGGACAACTCCAAATTCAAAACTGTAGCAGTCAGCCACCTGAAAAAGTACAAAGTTTGTCAGACATTGAGTGTAGACATCACGTCTATAAAGCAAAAGCACAATAGATTTCAAGAACTATAGATAATCCGATTAGAGAAAGATTATCCATAATGCTGTCGATACCAATGAGTATTAAGTCCAAGGATGGCGTCATGTCACTCCAGATGATATAGGGATTTTCCAAACTTATCTTAGATATGGCACAAGGCCGAAAGTATGGAGCACCCAGTGAAGATCGAACTCACTACTCAGTCGCAATTGTTCTAGCGAAACAAGCTTGCTAACCATTACACCGCCTCAAGGTGCCCACTCCAGATTATATATATATATATATATATTACAGCCTTCCTGTATCAGCTGACATTTTTTTAAAGTTTCTACTACTTCCTGTCATTTGTAGCTCTGATTAAGGTTTATATTTCTAACTCCTTTTGTCCTTGTAAACCATTTACACAACTCGTTAGGGAGGTCATTTGCTGATTTCCTCTGCTCCCCCCCCTTGTCTTCAATACGTTCTGTGCGTGTCAAATTCTCTAATCACTCTTTCTTCATTATGCGCCCTAGAAATAATGGGGATATCGGTGTGGAAAGTGAAATTGGCGAGCTGAGTTCAAATTCCAGGTTAGTCAGTTGCGTTCACTTTTACACAAATACCAGTGGGGAAAACATGGATCTGTCTCTTCTTCCCCCCAGCTGTGGGTTAAATACCAGAGTGGCTCTCTAGCCTTTGATTGCAACCGGTCTAAGAGAAGGACAACTCTGAATTAAAAACCAGTCCGAAGAGGAATGCGCTCAATCAGGATATTTTTCTCTAGACGCACCAACTGTTGCTATGGCTTCAGTACATGTGGTACACCTAGAACCGTAATGACATAAAGGACTCGTGATTGTATTTAACATCAACATTTACCGATATATTCTCCAGCTTTTATCTATTTTCTCAACCTTTCTCGACTAGTGGTCCGCATGAGACTTGGCTCATCACAAGGCGGACTGCAGTAATAAATAAAATTCATGCTAATTTTTCGGTGAAGGTATTTCAGCCATTTTTACTATAGAAGACCGGAAGCGGAAACATCTGCTTTGCCAATGCGGAAAAAAATCATTTTTTTCTTTGGAGGAAATATTATTTTATATAATTAGTAAAATAAAGCCTAATGACAGTGTGCTTAACACATGTTACCGTCAGATTTGTTTCTAATTTAGTCATTTGGCTATTCAAAAAATATTTCTTCTCTCGAGCAAAAAGAAAATTATTACGAACGTTTTCCTGTTTCTAACCTAAAAGATGTTTACATCGGTGATCTTCGCCAGTGGTTTAAAATGAAGTATTGCTGCTATAGCTGAGCTGAAACTTGACAGAGTTCAAAAGCGTTTACCCAGCCTTGTGGGTGATTAATTATTTTCCAACCTTTCCCACAAATGAAACGTCGCATGCCTAATACTACTCTATCGCTATTTCCATGGCAAATGTTCTGACGAGCTACATTCCTTAGTTCCGCCAGTTTTGAACGAATCAACCTCATTCTGTTACCAAGAAGGAAGTTCCACACGGGTAGCTTTTTCTACAAGAATTGTTGCTTTGTTGAATAAACTTCCGAGAGGATATATATATATATTTTTTTTTTCTTCATTTGTACCGCATCTCCTCGATCTAGTTCGCACTTTTTTGTTAATGTCTCTTCCTTTTTCAAATACGCAATTAGTTTCCACAAATTTGGAGGCATCCTATAACTTTGCTTATTAAAATGTTTAAATCGAAGTAATAATAGTGTGAGCCAGATATATTTGATAACAACGTACTTCGCATATAAAAAATGAGGCGAAATTGTTTTACGGCAAAAATCCAATATGGCAAAGTTTTCTTGAGGCGAGTTTTCCTACGGCAAAAATGTTTACGGCGAATGTTCCTAGAACCTGTTTACCCGCCTCCGTAAAAAAAAAAAATCCCCGAAACAGTTCATATCTTATAGTATGATAGCTAGGTTTTGGATAGACTTCGGGGTAGATGTTAGACTAAACCCCCCTGTTTGACACACTCTTTGATGGTTCCAGAATTAAATATATTTAATTATAAATGAGTAAATTATGATTACCGTATATTTCTGCGTATTAGACTTTTGGGGATGCGCAGAATGAACTAAGATTTTTTGCTATGGTGTTAGAATATATCAGAAGGAATTTTTGTCAGGTTGCGTGATCTTCTCTTGCTTCCACAACAATAAATAATACTTAATATAAAACACGGCAAAACACGTATGCAATTCAAACAAACAAATGCATTTATATACAATACAAATATTATATACAAAATATTATTACAAGATATTATTGTGGTGTTATGTTTGTTAGTGGATGAAAATTTTGTTTGTTTTTTGGTGTCTTGGTGTATTTGTATTACGTCTATAAGAATTCGTAATTAGTGTTTAAACACCGTTATTATGTTCGTGTTGTTCTTTTTGTATTGTTTAGAATTGAGTCATTCAGAAGTAATCTACCCTTAACTGTAAGAATGAAATATGTTCAATAATAGTATTTACTTAAATTGTAGTGAGCGTTAATAATTCACTTTGGATAAGTAAAGTCTTGCGAGTTGAAGTTCTTTGTATTCACAGAGTAATCTTTGAGTCGAGTTTGTGGGTGAGTCAGTTGTGGGTTTTTTCGCGCGGTAAAATTATAATCGCAAGTTACGTGGATTAGATTAGCGCTTCTCTGTGTTCGCTGGACTGACTGATTTATTGTAGATGATCAAAGAGAATGTATAGTTTTAGATTCTTGAATGACGAAGAAGTTCGTAGAAGATATTGAACGGGAAAGATTTGTCGTCTCGATTCGTCGAGACGGGAGTAGTAGTCATCACATTTTTAAGCTTGAGTGAGCGGTCGAAAAAATGGTCTGCTGCTGATCTGCCCAGGTCTGCATCTGCGTGTCACACGTGCTTTGGTTTTTTTTTAAGAGGTCATGATCACGTGGGTGGCTCCAAAACGATTTTGCGCCAAAACTTCGAAGTGCAGGTGCGGGCCACCTGATTGGTAGAAATGAACCAATCAGAGGGCTAGATTTACGAATGAAAGTTGGAATAGTGCATTACTCGAAGAAGGTAAGATTGGGCTAATAGACGAGCCCAATAAGACGACCTTTAAATCCCCAAAATCACCCTTAAAAATTGGGGTCGTCTTATACTACAATTCTAAAAAAGAAACCTTAAATTCTAAGTGATGTTTGTCGGTAGGTTAACCTCAGCCTCAGTGCGATAAGCAATAACGTACAAGAAAAGATTCACTTTATCAAATAAACTGATAATAAAAGTAATAAAGCCATTTCTACTTTATATATTACTGGTATAACTTCATAATAAATTGCCTATTCGAAGGATAATTCCATATCAATGAAATCAACTTGTATCCATGCAAACTCGGCTGAGAAAATGTAAACAACGAATTATGATTGTGTTCACAGCATTTATCGTACATTATTTTACTATTATTAGCTGTATTTTTTGTGATTGTCAAAGGAGTATAATTAAATAGCCACCAGGCATTTTAAAAGCTGTGTTTAGATAAAGGAAAAGAGGAAGAAGAAGGGTCAGTATTCGGAAGAGATCACGTGATGAAATGTAAACAAGACAATGATTTCAGTTTGAGGGGACATGAGTAGGAAAAACATGATGTAGAATTGGTTTTGTTATTTCATTTATTTTGAATTTCTAAGGATAGAGTAAATTAAATAACAATATTTTCAATAACATCATCTTTATATAATCAATAAATAGTTAGTCTTATATTACAGGTAAAGGATAAATTCATGAAAATTTGTTTTTATAATATTTTTAGGTTTATATTTTTTGACCTCGTCTTATCTAAAGGTCACCTTATACGCGGAAATATACGGTAAATATCAAAATAATGTTAACATATAAAAGAAAACAGTAGCCGAATACGGAAACACTCCTGTTTGACACAGTGGTTTCAACTCAGAATTAAATATGTATGATTTTAAATGGATAAATTATGATTAGAAATCAAAATAATATTAAAAAATGAAGGAAAAATTATAATATACGAGGAAAATACGAAGACGAGGAAAAGTATTCAGCTTCGTCTTTCCATAATATAAGTCAATATCAGATTTTTAAAAATCTCTTTCTACTTAGGCTGAGAACTTCTCAGCACCATTTCACAGAAGTTGGTGTGAATCATAAGTTCATTGGTTGGTTGTTTTTGCTTAGCGACATATCAACAACCTCTCTGCCAAGATCTAAACATTTTCCGTACACAATTTTATTTTATTTTTGGATATAATATACTTTAATGACACAAGTCTTGCTAATTAACCCATAGCTGGAGGGAGAAGAGGTGGATGCATACCTTTCCCAAGAGTATTTGCGCGTAATATAACGAACCCGACTAGAACTGGAGTCTCCGATTAACAATTCTGAGCCATTATCCGTTACACAACCCACTCATCCAAGCTTACAGCACTTATTATTCCAAAGCGGTCACTCATCTGAGTACTGACCAGACTCGACGTTGCTTAACTTTGGTAATCGTACGGGAACCGATGTTTCAACGTAATGTGACCATCAGCTCATCATTTTACCAATGTAAAATCTGTAAGCTTATGACGCTACACTGGCAGTGCATATATTAGATCAGGGGTCGGCAACCTTTTAGAGAGAGCGGCCAGACAGCGGGCCGTGTCTCGGAGGAGGACCATGATATCAAATGTAAATAAACAAAAGGCGTCCAAAGAAAAATCAACAAAGTTAATGTTATATTATTTAAACAAGATTCCTTATTTTAATGTAGAAATAACAGGATAACAACTAAAACAAAAAAGGCAAATTCTTTAATACGATTAAGTTGGCGGGCCGGACAAAAGTCCTTCACGGGCCGGCGGTGGCTCAATGGCCGGGGGTTTCGAACCCTGTACTAGACGGTTCTTATTGTTGTTCGAGAAAGGGGCATTGTACCTCTTCAGTAACAATGGAAAGATTTTTTAAACATCGATAAATTACAACAGTAATAACAACAAACCTTGGAGACAAATCCGAAGCCGTAGTCCCTAAGACAGTCCGATGTTATTTTCTGGCAACTCCTACGATGTCGCCCGTGTCAAGCTGTATTGGCCTCTACCTTTCCCTTGGACAACATCGGTGGCGTGGAGAGGGCATACGTGCTGCATGGGCTCATAAAAACCCTACCCAGGCCTGCGCCCTGAAAAGGACAACCCAACGTCGCCTCACAACAACAAAACACGGAAGCAACACTCTATTGATAAGAAGATTCAGAAGGTCCTTCTGTACGGGAAACTGGCCACCTGGAAGGGGACACGAGGGCGACCTCATTTTCGCTTCAATGACGTCTGCAAAAAGGACATGAGATCAATGGACATAGACATCGAGAGGTGGGAACAAGTTGCCAGCGATCGTTCATGCTGGAGACACGATTCCCACCGAGGACTGAAGCGAGGAGAGAAGAAATGGAGACTTGCCGCCGGGGAGAAGGATAGTCGAAGAAAAGAAAACGACACGGCGACATCAGAGGAGAGCCTCTTCTCAATTAAATATATTTTACAAACAAAACTTATGTAGAAAGCTTTCTGGTTGGTCATCCTATGCAAATAATACCCACCCATTCGTTAGTTGATCTGTACAAACAATGGAAGAGCAAAAATACTTGGCATCTTCAGTATCAGGGCAACTCACTGTCAATAGAAATGAAAAACATGATAGTTTAATTCTGAATAGAATTAATTCTACTAAATTGATTCTAATTAAAAGAAAAACTTGTAGTTCCAACGAATGATTTATTTTATGGAAATATTTCAACTAGCTTTGGTCACTTCTTTAATTTGAGTAAAACAATACAAAGAAACTAGAAACGCTTAAGAATTCAAATCAAAGAAAAAAACCGAGTTGATGATGTTTACAAAGTAAGAGCATACGCTTTTTTTTTATCGAGGTCCATGCTTTATTCGTATCAAAGTTAGGATGGTTGTCTTCATTGGTAGTTGCATAATAAAAAGAAAAACATGAAATAAATCATTCGTTTGAACTACAAGTTTTTCTTTTAATTATGCAACTACCAACGGAGACAACAATACTATGATACGAATAAGGCACGGACCTTGCTAAAAAAAGCGTATGTTTTTGTAATTTGAATTTTGAATAAAGAAAACAAGTGACCAAATGTTACATTTAATTACAGATTCAATCAACAATGTGTTTTCCCTGATTATCTATGACTTCCTTCCATCTATTAACAAGCTTACTGTCAGGTCATCCCATAAGTTCTGTCCGAATTTTGAATAAAGAAAACAAGTGACCAAATGTTACATTGAATTACAGATTCAATCAACAATGTATTTTCCCTGATTATCTATGACTTCCTTCCATCTATTAACAAACTTTCTAATTCCATTACTGTAAAATTCTTTTGGCTTTGATTCGAAGAACTCACAAATGTCAGTTTTAACCTCTTCCTGTGTTACAAAGTCTGTTTCTTGCAAATGATTCTATAAGCTAAGAAACAAATGGTAGCCTGAAGGAGCAAGATCGGGAGAATAAGGTGGATGAGGAATTTTCTCCCAACCAAGTTCTTCGATCTTTTGTGACGTGATTCTTGCTGTGTGGGGTCGCGCATTGTCCTGATGAGACATCACCTCTTTTCGTTTCACTAGAGCAGGACTTTTTTTCCTCAAAACTTGGTTCAAATGATCTAATTGCTGACAGTATATTTGAGCATTAATTGTTGCATTAGGTGGTAAGAATTCAAAGTGGATTATTTTTTGGCGATCCCGCCAGATTGAAAGAAGAACCTTTTGCCCATGAAGTTCCCTTCTCGGTTGTGCCTGGGGTCCTTCCCCTTTGCCATTCCACTGTCTACGACGCTTAACATTTCGATAAAAGATCCATTTTTCATCGCCAGTCACAAGTATATCCAAAAAAGTTGAAACAAGTTGGCGAAAATGGAGAGAAGAGCAGATGTCAACTCGGGATTTGAGGTTGTTTTCAGACAATTCATGAGGCACCCATTTTCCAAGTTTAGGAACTTTTCCAAGTTGTTGATGACGATGAACAGTTGTATGGTTTGAACTGAGAACCACTACCAATTCTTCAACTGATAAAGCAGGATGTTCTACAAGGGCTGCTTCAAGAAGCTTTTCATCAAACTCAACTGGACGTCCAGTTTGATCTTCATCTTCAAGGGTGAAATCTCCACCTCTGAATTTTGCAAACCATCTTCTGCAAGTTCTTTCATTCACATAATCCTTTTCATAAACTGAGTGAATGTTTCTAGCCGCTTCGGCTGCTGAGTTTCCTTTCTTGAACTCATAAAGCATTATGTGCCTCGAATGATTCTTGGGTACTTCCATGTTAGCAGGGTTTTAATCAAACAAAATTTAATTTTATAGTTCTCTGAAATAAAATTTGGTCAGTTTAAATGCATCTAAACATAAAAATAATGTTCAGCTTCATTAGATATTATAAAATACTCTTTAAATTTCGTTCATTTTAAAAAAAAAAGGTAAAATTCGAACAGAACTTATGGGATGACCTGATATATATATATATATATATATATATATATATATATATATATATATATATATATATATACACACCATTATTCCTCACCGGTTGCACGACTCGGTGTTTTATGCACAACGCAATCTTCTTCTAGTGAGTATAGACAGACTGTCACATAATTTAAATTTTAATAAAAATAGCTAGTTAACACAATGCTGGCGCAGTCCATATATTATACGGGAAATACGTTTTTTTTTATTTTAAAAATATATATTGCATTTAAAATAGACGGGATTTTTATTTTATACTTAAAATAAACTCGGATTGTTATTTTATTTTATATTTAAAATAAACAAGGGTTAATGTTACTTATTAAAATATGTTAAAATAGACGGAGCTAAAACTATTTATAAAGAAATATTAATTTTTATTTAAACACGGGATTATTATCTTCTATTAAACATAAAGAAGTATTCCTGTTTTTTTTTTAAATTTTTGATTTAAAAAAAAATTATATAAAAATAAACAAACCTAGAAACCATGAAAAATATTTTGTATTTAAGATAGATGGCATCTAAAAAAATATATATATATTTGCTCGACATAAGATAAATAAACAGAAGAAAAAAAATTAATGATATTAAATAAAAAAAGGTAAAGGTTATAATTTATAGTAAAAATTATTCTGTATCAATTTATTTCAACAGAGATTTATTTTTATGCCTACATTTGATCATGAAGCCATTTCTCTTGTTTAATAAGCTAGGGTTATTTAAGAATTTTAAGATAACTAATTTTTTTACAAGGTATAAATTACAATTATTGCCTTTTTGATTACGGACCATTATGAGATTTGGGTTTTGGTATAATATCCTACGTAATTCTTTAATTGCCAGAAACGTTTGAAGAGAGCAGTGCTGTTGATGTATTTTATATTTCCTAAAGTCATTCGATGATGTTAGAACTGAAATTTCCAACGATTTTCAGTGGAACCAAAATAAAATTTGACATCGTTACTGGAATGCATCTTAGCTTTGTATACAATATTATCAGTCATACATTGGCTGTTTAAAGGACAAATTGCATTGTTCTGGCAGTTACTTTTATTTTTAAAATGTTAATATTGTTGACTTTGTCGGACATATACTTACTTGATATAATATTGTAATGTTGGGATATCGATTTTTCGATGTTTTTAACGCAGCTAAACAATGTATTTACATTATTTTTTTTTATTGAAAATCTTTAGTATTGCCGAATGATTAAAGTATTTATGAATTAAATTTAGGACAATTCTTCCAATGTTCGTTTGAACATTACGATTATAAGGGGAGGGGGTTAAACCATAGCACATTACGGTGTCTCGGTTTACTTTATTTGTACCTTTTTTGCTTTTTTTTCTAAATATTCTAATTTTACTTTATAGTTGCTTAGTTCTAATGCGTCTATATAATTAATTTTATTATTATCAAATATTTCCATGTGGATGGAGTTAGTAGATAATATAACTTGAACGGGTTTATGCAAAATATTTAAAATATTAAGTGGACGATTTTACTCCTTATTAACGTATCTATGGTTATGTAGATCTTTGGCATACGGTTTGTAATAATCAGTACTGAAGGTCAATGTGCAAAATCGAATATTCATATATATATATATATATATATATATATATATATATATATATATATATATAGAAAAAGTTTCAAATTAAAAATTAAAATGTTTTATTTTATGAAAGTATTTATTTATTTATATATATATTTGATATTTCAAATTGTCCTCAATTTTTCATCAAATTAAAATTATGTTTGTTAGCAAGTAGCGTCCTTCGCGAGACGCGGACGTCACGTGATATGGAACGTCACTGTTTGGATATTCCTAACTTAAAACTAACTGTCATAAATATTTTAAAAAAATTTTTAGATATAGTAAAAATTTTTTTTTAAAAATATTTATGACAGTTAGTTAGAATATCGAACAGTGACGTTCCATATCACGTGACGTCTGCGTCTCGCGAAGGACGCTACTTGCTAACAAACAGTAAT